AATTTATAAATTATCAAGGGCTCATGAGTGAGGGGGGAGCGGGGAGGGAGGGGAAAAATGAGGACCTAATGCCGGGGGCTTGGGTGGAGAGGAAATGTTTTGAGAATGATGAGGGCAATGAATGTATGGGTGCGCTTTACACAATTGATGTATGTATGGATTGTGATGGGAGTTGTATGAGTCCCTAATAAAATGATTTAAAAAAATAAATAAATACAAACAAAAAAAAGATTGCAGTGTTGGTAACCCTATGGGACAGTTCTACTGTGTCCCATAGGGTTACCATGACTCAGAATTGACTTGAAGACAGAGTTTTTACTATATCGCTAACTTTTACAACAGAAGCTCTGGTGGCATAGCGCTTATGCATTGGTCTATGATCCCCAAAGTTCACAGTTCAAAACCACCAGCCAATCTGCGGGGATAAAGCTGGGGCTTTCTATTCTCATAAATAGTTACAGTCTTGGGAACTCACAGGGACCATTCTACCCTGTCCTATAGGGTCACTATGAGTCAGCATCGCTCGATGGCCTTGAGCTTGGCTTTTGGGTAACATTGACAACAATGACAACCATTGTAGAGCTGGCAGAAGAGCAGGCACTGTTTTGTTCAGGAATGAACACTCTGCTTTCTAGGAGCAAACATTCTGTTGGTTAAGGGAGTGAACATTCTGCAGTATAGGAAAATAAACAACAGGCTCGGGACTGTCTTAGCACCGAGGTAGGGCTGAGTGGATATCCTGAGACATCTTACCCAGAGGTATGGCCTGGGAAAAGTTTGATCCTTCCATATCAGATGTATAGCCTAAGATAAGACTCAAGACATCCTGACATAGAATTATAGCTTGAGATAAATTAGGAAGAACTATGTAGAAGACCCAAGACCGAATTTAGTTACTTAATAGAAATCAACTTTGGAGTAGTTTCAAACCCCCTCCACTTTGAAACTCAAACATCAAACTCACTTTCATCAAGTCGATGCCAACTCATAGTTGGATGGGCTGGAACTGCCCCTGTGGGTTTCCAAGACTGTCAATCTTTACAGGAGTCGAAAGCCTCGGTCTTTTCCCCACAGAGCCGCTGGTGGTTTTGGAACTGCTGACCTTGCTCTTACCAGCTCAAGGAGTAACCACTTTGCCCCAAGCTCCACTTCCTTCCTAAAAGCATTCAACTTTTTACTCTCTGGACTGGGGAGTCCACCCCACTGACTCCTGCTGGTGTCCTGGTTCAACTGCCTCTGTGGCCATCACTTCTCAGCTACTTCTCGGCTATTTCTTTACCAGGTCTTAATAGTCACAACTCATTGTCTCTTGGATCGAGGAGGTTTAGTGCAGGGGTTTTGGGTGAAAAGGGCACTTTCCGCTCCTAGGTCTTCTTTTATGGTTATGAAATCCCCCTCTCTACCTCTGGGATGACTCCTTTTTAAAGCTGTCAGGATGGCAAATTTGACCAATTCCCATGTTAAGTTTCAGATACCTTATTTATATAGTCCCTCCCAAAGGTACTAGGTACCTTATTTACATGGGACCAATTCCCATGTTAAGTTTCAGATACCTTATTTATATAGTCCCTCCCAAAGGTACTAGGTACCTTATTTACACTATTTGTCACTATCCAATCCCTTTGGTGTGCCTCAAATGCCCTACGTTCGCATAATTCTGCCTGGGCATGGTTGGAAGAAACAAAGACTATGGCTAAGAGAGATATATCAAGTAATTCATTACACTGTAGAACTTAACAACACATTAAAAACCATAATACACCCTGACCCGGTGGGATTCATAACAGATAGGCAAAGATGAGTTGACATTAGAAAATTCATAAACATGATTCACTGTATAAATAAAGGAAAAGCACCCACACATGGAAAATAGCTTGGCAGGAGATTACCTGCTGTTATCTTCAGATGGTGATACGGGTCCTGCCTTTAGAGACACTTTCTTCTAAGATGTGCTAGAGTTGGTAGGTACTCTGGGCCTGTGGATCATTGTAACATTTTCTTCCCTCCTCCTGCTTCTCCTATAGAGCCTTTGTCTTTTTCTCATTAGCAACAATAACAGCCAAAACAACACCAATGTCTTGAATTCTTATCAAGCTCAAGGCTCTGTTCCATGAGTTTTTACATTTATTAATTTATTATATGTATATATATATTTTTCATCAAGGTGAAATTCGCACAACATAAAATTAACTAGGTCTCCAGTGTTAACCCTCTGACATAGTTAAGGGATGTGAATAGCCTTGCTATCCGACAAAAAGCATTGTACAGTCAACTATGGCAGATGTAGTTAGGGTAAAATGTAGTGCCTTATCAGTTGATCTCCTTTTTGACCCATTTTAAAATTGTTTCAGATTTTATTATTTTCTTCTTTCTCTTTGACTGGTTTTTCTATGCCACTGTTGTGTTTTTGCTTGTTTGTTTGCCTCCTGTTCGTATGATTTTTTGCATATGAAATATGATCTATAGCGACAGTAACTGGAGAGGGGCACAGTAGGGAACGATGGGGGGAGATGGAGAGCTAACAACAACGAGGAAGAGAAGAAAATGTTCTGAAATTGATTGTGGTGATGATTGCACAAAGCTTTCTAATGCAATTGAATGATGAAATTGTATACTATGCGAAGTACCTGACAAGAAAACTATTTGCAAAGAAGTAACTAGTGTGAAGTCTACAATTCAATGGTGTTTAGAATATTTAAAATACTATGCAATATCCACCTTTATGTAGTTCCAAAGCTATTTCAACAACCCCAAAGAAAATCCCATATCCATAAGCTATTACTTCCGTTCTCCCCGTCCGGTAGCACTGGATCAATTTGCTTTTTGTTTTTATGGATTCCACTCATATGTAGTAATTCATGAAACCGCATCACAGCCAGACGAGTAGATGCTATTGTTATCCCTGTTTTACAGATTAAAGCATTGAGACACTGAAAGGTGAAGCACTTGCTGAGTCTTACACAGCTGACATTTGAGACTCTGGGTCCAATCTTTAACTCTTTTAAAAAAATCATTTTATTGGGGGCTCATACAACTCATCACATTCCATACATCCATCCATTGTGTCAAGCACATTTATACATTTGTTGCCATCATCATTCTCATTTTCTTTCTACTTGAGCCCTTGGTATCAGCTCCTCATTTTTCCCCTCTCTCCCCATTCCCCTCTCCTTCATGAACCCTTGATAATTTATAAATTTTTATTATTTTGTCATAGCTTACATGGTCCTAAACTCTTAACACTGTACCCCGTGATCATGAAACCCGACTATTTCATTTCTTGGCTCCCGTCTCCTACCTAGCAGCCCTGGTGGCATAGTGGTCTTCCTCCAAGGGCTGAAGACAGTCAAGATATTTTCTCTTTTAATGGCCGATATCCATTTTCACTTCCCTCTGAGACTGATATACCATTGGTATTGGAGTTGACTAAACACCCAATGTTTCATAATCTCTGATGACTGCCATCCCCTAATCATCCCTCAGTCTCTTTACCTGAGCAGATCTCCAAGGAGCTGCTAAAGATGTTCTTTCCTGATAGAGTGGCGAATCCAAGATCACAGATGCAGGCAGTGGCATTGATGCAATGGGCATGCCGTGGGCACCGAGCACAGGGAGCTGTGAAGAATTAAGATGTGGCTTAGAGACCCTCTGAAGATGTGAGCTGCCAACTGAAAACTAGGGAATAATGGGGAGGGGAGAGGACAAAGAGATTTCTGTTTTCATTGAAGAAAGAGCCCTTGATACAGCTGCAGAAGAAGACTATATCTGGTAGACATGCCCGGGCATAAGCCCTTGTCAAGGTGATGCTCCTTTCCCCAGCTTCTGGATGGGATGGTGTTGTTTGGACAGACTCACCTCTAGGCTTCTGGGCAACACTTCCTAGTGATATCGGCAGAGTACAGAGGCCTAGAACAGAAATTGGGGAGGCGATGACAGGTGCAAAAAGATCCAAGGTACCCATCAGACTAACTACCACCTGGTTTAAATGGTCTCTCCTCTATAGCCCTCAGGGGTTTTAGGTTTATCCCAGCATTTCCTGCTGGACACAGGACCTAGGGTGCCCAGCCTTCCCCTTTTCTATTTTAGAAGTCTCTAATATAATTGATAGAAATAGGCTTTTAGTCAGATGGAGAAAAAAACACCCAAGCACACTTATAAAAATGTCTAATTCCCATTCATTTTAGAAGGTGTATTTTATGATATAACTTGTGATATCTGGATGATTTTTGTTCAGAAACCTCAGGCTCTTTCCTCTTTGTAATAACTAATATCCATTGTTACTTCCATGCTGAGCTGGTATTATTCCATGGGTAGAGTTGAAGACAACTGAGATTGATCTTACATCTACCACTCATGGGTGGTGTGACATTGTGCAATAAAATTTCATTTATTTAATTCCTAATTTTCACAAAAAATTAGACATTCCAAGAAGTAGAAATAACAGTCAACTGAACTCTTGAGTGCCAATGATTCAGTAATAATATAATTTCATGGCTACTGTTGGTTTATGTATACTTCTATTCACTCTCTTCTCTCCCAATGGATTATTTGGAATCAAATTACAGGCATCATATTATTTCACAAGACAGAATCTAAGAACAAAATTTTTTCATGTAAAAAATTGATAAATCCCACATTTTTTCCTGGCTGCAAGTTCTAAGCAGTTTGTTCTTTGGAAGGTTAACAGAACTGCAAAAGTTCCTTTATTTATTATTACTCATATGAGGAAGAGTGCAAGAGGAAGGCAAGAGTCAAGTGAGGACAGAGAAGCTTCTTAAAAGGGACAAATGAGTTCTGAATGGTTTTAATTGAAATGGGTTTAATTGAATACCGTCAAAAATTTCACTTACCTAGAAGAAATGTAATATATCTGTTCCTCATGGTGCAGAGATCTGAACCCAAGCAGTATGGTATATGATCTTGGACCGTGGGCTGATATTTCCTGCTTAAGTTAATCACGTGTGCCTGAGAAGAACTAATGTAGGAAACAGCTGACCTGGGTGCTTGCTCCCCTGCCCCACAGTCATGCATTTAAAATATATCAGATCTCTCTGTTCTGCTTTTTATAGTCTGTTTGGCAATAGTTGTCAGCTTCTTTGCTGGTATTCCTTAGTTGCAAAAGATAGCGATAACAAGAATGATGAAAGAGTAAATGAGGCTGACTCTACTTAAATTGTCTTTCTCAAACCCTGTGGGTTTCAGAGACTAAAACTCTTTGTGGGAGTAGAAAGCCTCATCTTTCTCACTTACTGGTGGTTTCAAACTGCTGACCCCCGATTCGAAGCCCAACACGTAGCCACTATGCCAGTAGGGATCCTTGAATCTGTGTACAATAGAAAGAAACACTGCCCAGTCCTGCATACTTTTCTACCAACGTTGCCATATGTAGCCTTTATGTTAATTCATCTTGTTGAGGGTCTTCCTCTTGTACACTGACCAAGCATGATGTCCCTCCTGATAACATGTCTAAAGTACATGTGACAAAGTGTCGCCATCCTGACTTCCAAAGGGCATTCTAGTTGCACTTCTGAGATCGGTTCATTCTTTGGGCAATACATAGTTTATTCAATATTCTTCAACCAAACCATACTTGAGGGGCATCCATTCTTTTTTGAACCTCCTTATTGCTAGTCCAGATTTCACATCCATGTGAGGCAATTCATACCATGGTTTGCTTCAGGTGCTTAACCTTGAAAATTCTTTTTTTTCTTTAAAGAAGTCTTTTGCAGCAGATTTGTCTAATGCTTCCATGGTATGAAATACTTGATAATTTCAGTCTTTCCTCCATTAATCGGTGTAGTAGACCATAGGATTGTTTAAAAATGGCCTGGACCAGTCCATTTCAGTTCACTAATGCCTAGGAAGAATAGTGGGTTATGAGGTAGGCTGAAAACCAGAAGGTCAGCAGTTTGAAACCACCAGCCACTCCTTGGGAAGAAGATGAGCCTTTCTAGTCTCATCAGGAGTTACAGTTTAGGAAGCCCACATGGGCAGTTTTACCTTGTCTTATAGGGTCACTATGAATTGGAATCAACTAGACGGCAGGGAGTTAGGTTAAGTTAGTTTTCTTAGGTTCACGCTTGGTACATTCCATGCTCTGACTATTAAAGGAAGTTTTCTTTATGTGGAGGTGCAATTTACACTAAAGACTATAGTCGTGGATCTTCATCGGTGTTTCACATCATCTTTGCTTTTAGCAAGCAAGGTCCTATCATCTGCTTGTGACAGGTTGCTAATGAGTTGTCCTCCAACTTTGATCCCCTTTGATTCATATAGTTTAGATTCTTGTATATTTGCTCAGTGCATAGATTAAATAACTATGGTGAAATGATACAACCCTGATGCATACCTTTCCTACTTTAAACCACCCAGTATCCCTTTGTTCCATGAAAATTATTGTATGTTGGTTTACATACAGGTTTCTCATGACTACTAGTAAATATTCTGAAATTTTAATTCTTTGCAATGTTATCCATAATTTGTTATGATTCACACAATCAAATATCTTTGTGTAGTCAATTAAACACACTTAAACATCACTTTTATTCTCGGATCCCAGTCAAGAGCCATCCAGTCAAGTTAATACAATGTAATAGCAAAACTACATACGTGTTATCTCTCATGTCATGTCCTATTCTGAATCCAGCTTAAATATCTGACAGTTACCAGTCTATGTAGTCTGCAACTATTTTTGAATAATCTTCAGCAAAATTTTACTTGCGTGTGATTTTAATGATATTGTTTGATAATTTACATATTTACTGGGGTCACCATCCTTTGGAATAGGCATAAATATAGATATCTTCAAGTCATTTGGCCAGGTGCCTGTCTTCCAAATTTCTTGGCATCTATGATTGAGAGTCTCCAGTGTTGCATTGATTTATTGAAACATTTTAACTTATTCCATCAACTCCTGGAGCCTTGTTTTTTTTAATCAGTGCTGTCAGTAAAGTTGACACCTCTTCCTTCAATACCACTAGTTATTGATCCTGAAATGGATGAATGTTGATCGATTATTTTAGATATTTTGACTTCAGGTTTTACTTCCATCTTCTTTTAATGTTTCCTGTATTGTTCAATAATTTACCGATTGAGTATTTCAATCTTGCATCTCAAGGATTAAATTATTCATTAGAAATAAAGAGGATCACACCTTCTACCTAGTCTGTCTTAGTCTGGAAGATCTGTTGAGACCTATTTACCATAAATGGCCCTGTTGATATTTGAAGTTCTGTATGATTAGTTTCCAACATCACAGCCACAGGCAAGCCACCATAGTATGACAAACTGGCAGAAGAATGTGGGTCTGGCAAGAAATTAATATCAAAAATTTACTCATGAAGATCTGGATAACATTAATAGTCTTATATCTATAAAAGAATGAAAAAGGTCTAGATGCTTTCACTGACAAATTCTACCAATAATTTAAGGAAAAGTGAATATCAAGTCTACATGATTTCTTCCCTCAAAGACACTATGCAGAAAATGAAAATGCAAGTCAAGAACCTAGAGATGTTTATATTTTATGTAATTAGCCAAATTTTAATATCAAGAATATATACCGTATATACTTCAGTATAATCTGACCTGAATATCAGCCGAGGCACTTAATTTTACCACAAAAACTGCATAAAAAATGTGCTGAAAAACTTGGCTTTTACTCAAGTATATATGGTTAATATAATTTAATAGTAAAACTACAATTTAAAAATGGTCAAAAACTACCCATTAGTGTGTTGAAATGCCAAAAATGTGTATGGTAACTAAAGAGTTGAAAAAAAAATCAACTGCTTCCAAACAACAACCTAGTGCACTACATCCTACAAGATTATGTGAAAGCACAGCACATGGTATGAACATGGCATCTTCATTGCATTCTATACTTTACTGTTGCATGACTTTATAATGTCCTGATATATTGGCAGTATTATCAGAGAAGTGGCCTCCTGTTTGGCAATTTCTTCACTTTTGAAGCTAGTAGAAGTGATAAATTGCTTGACTCGTTTTCCATCTGTTGAAAATCTGTTTAAAAGAATACTGGGCTGATCTGTATAAGAAAGGTCAGGGTGAAATCTGCAGACAAAATGAAGTACTGAGCTATGCATATTTCACTGCAAATAAGTAACCAAACATTTGTTGCTCTTGTGAGGTGCCGTCCAGTCAGATCTGACTCAGAGTGACCCTATGTACAACAGAACAAAACACTGCTGGGACCTGAGACTTCCTATGTTGAACTCATCATTGCAACGACTCTGCCAATCCATCTGGTTGAAGGTCTTCCCCTATTTCACTGCCTTGATACTTTACCAAGCATGATGTCCTTCTCCAGGGACTGGTCTCTCCTGATAACATGTCCAAAGTACATGAGACAGAGTCCCACCATCCTTGCCTCTAAGAAGTATTCTGGCTGTATTTATTCGAAGACAGATCTGTTTGTTCTTTTGGCAGTCCATGGGTCTTTCAGTAGTCTTTACCAGAACCACAATCAATTGCCATTGAGTCTTCCCCAGTCTTCCTGATTCATTGTCCAGCTTTCACATGCACGAGAAAACAGAAAATACCATGGCTTTGGTCAGGTGCACTTTAATCCTCAGAGTAACATCCTTGATTTTTAATCCTCTAAAGAGGTCTTGTGCAGCAGATTTGCCCAGTGCAATGTGTCCTTTGATTTCTTTCTTTTTAAAAATTAGTTTATATCTTCACAGGGAAAGAGGGACCAGACTTCAACCCAGTGCTCCAAGGTGCGAATGCAACATGCCAGCGTGGAGTAGGGAACCAGTGGAGAGGTCTGCGGGGCTGGCCCCAGTCCTAAATACTAAGGGGATACCTGCCCCTCCACCCAGAAGAATTTATTTCAGATAGGAACTGGAAACACAGGGAATCCAGGGCGGATGATCCCTTCAGGACCAGTGGTGTGAGTGGCAATACTGGGAGGGGGTAGAGGGAGAGTGGGTTGGAAAG